ACACGATAAAAATTTCATCGGAATTATCATTCCAATGTGATGCATCGAAAATAAAGAAAGAGCTATTTGGATAAAACAATGATTACATTTTTTTCGCCAATATATTATTGGTATAAACGCAGCCAACAAAGCACTGTTCAGATTTTATTAAGAATCTTCGTTGAATGCTTTTCGATTAGCTGTTGAGTGAGGGGTGTGTTTGTAACACAAGTTGCAATCATCGCTTCTCTCTTTTTATATTATCTATCTCCTGAAAGAATACTGAAGTAGTGAATGAAGCCCTAAATGGCATAGTACCACGAAAATTAGTAAGGCTACTGATGACTCAAAAGCAGATATTGTTCGACAGTGCAATCTGCGCAGATTCTAATACTAACAATAATTTTGAATGGAACTCTCATTCTATGTTTTGATTCTTTTACAGTCGCAATAAATATTCAATGTTTTCCTACAGCCAACAAGAAATTTCATTTTTGATTTCTATCAAAGCTCACACATTTGTTTTCTTGACACTGTCAATATTGGAGAAATGATAAAGTTGTCTCACGGATACTTTCATTCTATTTTGCCTTTTCCTACTCTTATTGTTTATCATGTATGCTTTCACTGACTTCTCAGTATTATAGTTACTTTTGTGTTCCATGTCAGTAACAGAATCACCGATATCAAGTATTTCAATTAAAATTGTCAACGTGAAGGATAATAATGCTATTCTTATTCATAACAATACTGTAGGTATATGCACTCGACGAAATCGAAAACCGAACTATATTCTAATGTTCATATTTGAATATTTTGTTAATCCAGTAGATCGAAGAAAATCATCTTTCTAAATTTAACTTCATTCTTTCAACTTATACCAACTATCAATAAGTTAATGTCATGATTTTGATCAATGCTTAAGCTACGTTTTCTTAAACAAATTTATATCTATCCTAGTCTCGAAAATGAATCAGATCATATGAAGGTTAAGGTTGATTTTTGCAGCTTGGATTGTAAACATTGAACATTGCTTTTGGCCTTTGATTCCGAGCTGTGGTCAGATATGTTCTGATTTAATTCACTATCGAGCGTTGAACACCAGAAAACGTTCAAAAACACTAACTACCTTACAGCCTACAATGAATTTCCGAGCTTGCTTTCATAATTTCGATGCACTGTTAATAAAATATCAAGAAGAAGAAACTTCAGAAAATATGTTTTATAGTCGACGATGACGTGCGTCAAAGATGTGAACTTGGTCAGCTGCTGTCAAAAATAATCATGACCAGACGAAATGCATCTTAAAATAATTATTTTATTCCAATAGAAATTCAAAAATTTTAAAACAAAAAAGACAATCAAACGCAGTTTAATTACTTCTTTGATGAACAGCCGATGAGTCAACTTGAAAATAATAATAATATCGTTTTACTGTGAATTCTTTTTACTACGAAGAAATACCTCATAAATTCAAGCGCAACAGATGGCAAAGATCATGCATAATCCTTTTATACATTCTCGCCAACTTCAATTTCAATATGACCAGCTAAATCATCGTTATATATTCTCATATTTCATGTATTTCTACACCAGCTACAAATTTATATGCTTCACCATTATATACTTTTTCACTAAAAAACCCTTAACTCTGTAAGGTTTTCCCTTCCCGATCGCCGTATGAAAATGAAAGAAAAATATTTTATTTAAAAGCGAAAAAAAACCTGTCTGCCATAGTTCAATAACTGCTTCTTTCCATTTGTTTTCGTCATGCTATACATATCTTTCTCATTAATTTTGTATCAGTCTCGATATGAAACTTTTGAAAATGGGATTATTTTTCTCAAAGAAGTATTTTTGTTTTTAACTGAGATAATTTTTAATTTCTATACTCTATGAAAAAAATTTTGGTTCACAGCTATGAAATAACAAAATAAACAATCAAATTCGCTTTGAATAGTTTTTCAGAGTTTCAAATATAGTAGATATAAGTTAGAGAAATGGATTGAACTTTTCTATTTTAACGTTGACTTGCAGGCTAGACCAGGCCTCATATGACAAAGCCTAGCCTGCATTTTATAGTAGACTGATCAGTCCTAACCACAACAGCAGTGGTTGTTTGCACAACGAGAAAAATCAGCGGATATACATATTCATTTCATCTTCCAAATATTAAAAATCGTAAATATTTCGCAAGAAGCACTGAATTATGAAACCTTCAAGGGTTTTCTCTGATGACTATAGATTTACACCAAGTTCAACACAAAGGGTAGTTTTCGCATTATTCCTTGTTTCTTTGAAGTAGTAAAGTACTTACCTTCTACATAATCAATTAACAAACTTAAATCATTTGTTCCCGGTAAATCAATGCGCCGTATAACTTTTCGACAACCATCACGCTATATGCTATTATTGTACGCGCCTAACAATCAGTTTAGATAAGTACTTTCACATTTATTTAGAGAGATTTCAATGAGAGAGAGAGAGAGAGAGAGTAAATGAGAAACTAAAAAGTGTTGCATACAACTGAACATGATAGATATATGAAACAAAGCAAAGAGTTAAATTTGTTGGCAAAATGAAGCCTTTTTGGCTTCGATAAGTCTTGCCAATTTGAAAGCAAATTTTACAATCACAATCTACAAAGTGAAATAAAAATGAAAATAACTGAAAACAAAAGAAATAAATGATCTACTTGGACAATAGAACCCGCAATGATAATAACAATTACAACGAAGAAAGCTGTTGATCCACCAACCAGCATACCATTGGTTTGACTATTATTAAGTGAACTTGCATTAGCTAAAGAAGTCAAACCGGCAACGAAGAGCAGCACCACGAGAATACCATCAATAACCAATCCAATGATGTTCAGACAAGCGAACTAAAAATCGGAAGTAGAAATATTTTTATTGAGAGAGTATTCCTTGAGTATTTTGTTTTATTTGATATCGAGCAAATGTCATTTATGAAAATATGTGAACCTGGAAGAAAAACAACTTCCAACTATTTTGTCAATAAGTTGTTACAATATAGCCATGTTTTTGAAGACAGGTAAAATATATTCTAATGGGGGATCTCCGTTCACACTTAATCATAAGAAAAAGTATACATAATCTGTTAAAGCTTGTGATTTTGCCTTTGACTTCATTTGGTGAAAAAATAATACAACTATAATTCAGACCAACTCAATTAACAATTAATTACAAAATATCATAACTTTCAATGGCTATAAGTGTTGACAGTGTCTCGATGATACTAAAATGGGTTGTATAACGAGTAAACGAAAAGTCATTGCTGGCTATTTCAAACGGTCTCAAATCATGTGTGCATTCAATAAACGTGAACGTAAAAACTTTGTCAATATATCATAACTTTTGGAAAAAGTATTTCTCACCTAGCAAAGTTTAATCTCATGGAAATAGTTTCTTTTATTTCAATTCGGATTCGTTTTCGGTTAATCTGGATATTTATGAAGAAAATATTTACTTCAAATGCAATTAGGAAAGAAATACAACATACATTTTGTAATTAACTACTTGTACATCGTACTTCTTCCTGAAAAAGATTTTCCCCTTGGCTATATTTAGTTTGTCAAGAGAATTTCCCAAAGACGATGTTACTTACAAACTAAAAAACACACCACAGTTGGTACATACCACTAGTAAGCCTATTTTAGAGTATCGATGAGCGACCAAATATCCAAAGCTGAAAAAAACAACTGAAATAAGAGATTGACCAATTTCAACACCGCGTGACGAGTATTCCGAATTATTCGTAACTCCATTGCCAGCAATCGAACCAATTGTACTAAGTACAGTTAGAACCTAAAATTTGAATACGTCTATAATATCCATAAAAAAATGGGTTCTTTGAATGCATATAAATTATTATCAAAAATTACTGTGTCCAAATATCATCTGAGTGAGAAGCGTATTGATGAATTTGGATTCAGGAGTTTTATTTTAAATCAAATCATATTTATATTAGTACGCAGTGAGTTATCATAACGACATCATCATATACTTTGAAATTAAGAAAATTGAGTTTCAGTAAGTTTTGTATGCAAAAATAATGTTCTTTAATGTTTAGTCAATAAACATTGTTATTTTGTGATAATCATAAAACAAGAAGCACTTACGATAAGCACGCCAAGTATAATTCCAAGAATTTTACGAGCTCGTTTTATTTCAGGATCTTCAGTCAATGAGAACGGTTTGGAAACAGGCAAGGTAGAACTAGCCACCATAACAGCATTTTCGTTGCCTTGTTCGTATTTCATTTCGGCGATATACTCTTTAGTTTTTAGAATCAACAGAAATCAAACTAAGCCTGCACATGCTCGGAAGAAAAACAAATTGCAGAATAGTTCGCTGCTGTTTTTTATTTAATATTATTCAAAGTATTCTGCTCAATAGAGCAGCAAAAAAAGCCTATCATGACGATTTTATTAGAACATAAGTGTGAGTAGAAGAAGAGAAAAACAAGTAGAATTAACATCGAACATGTGTCAGCGAATGCGTGAATAGTGTAAAGGTTTCGAGAGTAACGTTGTAAAAAGCTGAATATAAAAATGGCAAAAGTATAGGCGCACCTTATCGATTCAGCTACGTAATGCATGGCACATCTACCTTCGCTATTTCTGCTTTTTCAGGGTAACCCGTTGGACATGCTCGCAGCCTACGATTACGAAAGATTGACTAAGTCAAAAACAAGGAATCCTATTTCCGATACTTCCATTGAAAATATTGCTATAGAATGTTGATCCTGAGTTTTATACAGAAATATCTTGGCCAATGTAACAAATGACATAAAAAGCAGGTTTTGTATCACAAGTCTTCTTTCATAAGAAACAAATATGATATATATATGTAAATATTCAGATAAATAAAGGAGACTTTGCACGCGTATGTTTACTATTCATTATTGATCAACGCTCTGTAAGTTTTTGATGTGTCAATGAATAATATAATGTAACCAGTATATGTTGTAAAAACTATTATGATTTGCTAGACTGAATGCAGAATGAGGAAAACTTTCTTTGTACGGTGTACTGAAAACTATTGATAGATATTTCTTTCTACGTATATAAGATCTATGATTTCCTAGTGTCAATAAATATGGTAATAGAACTTTCATTATGTTACGTTTAACTCTCACCCTCAATCATCGGCTGCAGCATACGATTTAGTGGATAATAATTTTCTGAAATTTTAAGCGGGTACTAAGAATCTCTTTTCGTTGAATTCTACTTAACTCCATCATTCAACCGCAAGATATAATGAAGGAGAGACTTAATACATTTTGTCAAGGGGTGGAACGGCGGACTTGAAGTAGAAAAGTAAGTCAAAGTACATCCTTGAACTAGCTAAAAATACCACTCAAGTAGTCAGAGACAAGAACAATTAGCTTAGCAGCTTTGCTGTAACTTAAAGGAATTTCAAGTAACTTCACATGAATTTGCAGTCAAAAAATACTCCGAAGTACACCACTGAAAGTAGCTCAAAGTTACTTCAAGTCCAAGAGTCCGCCTTTTCCACTTCGAGCAGCTGGGCAGTGAGGATGTGCCTGTAAAAATGAATTTCTAAAATGTGTATCACGAGCCGCAGTCACTATTTGCCTGCTTTTACATTATCTATCTCCTAAAAGAATATTGAAGTGACAAATGACGTCATAAATGGTACAGTTCCACGAGAATTAGAAACACTTTTGATGAGTCAAAAACGGATATTGTTCTATTTAAAAATTGTCCACTATTGTTCGACGGTACAATATACGAAGATTCTGATTCTTGCAATGCTTTTGTGTGGAACTTCTATTCCATTTTTCAATTCTTTTACACACAGCCAAGCGTTGTCACACCAAATATAAGTAATAAGCATAGCGAAAACAAAGTATTCATTATTTTCGGAACACGTTCTCGTCTAATGAGTGTTATTATTAGTCCACACCATATGTTACACGTTTGTGTACTCAAATATATGTGCAGAGAAATCTCAACCAATGGCATCTAATTAAAGAAAACAAAGACAATATTCACGTATTCGACCATGTGAATCGAATCCATATTGAAATAAACATTAGTTTAGAATGTAGGCGTTTTGGCTAATAAATATTATCCATCAATCTCTTGTTTCTATAATCTTCCGAATATCCAGAATGGTAAATTATTAGCAAGTTGTATTGAATTAGGGAAAATTCCGTCGTGTCTAAGTACTATAGGCTTACACCAAGTTAAATTCAATGCGTCGTTTTAGTATGATTCCTCGTTTCTTTGTCGTATTAAAGTACTTATCTCCTACATAATTAACTAGGAAACACGATTGATTTGTTCCCGGTAAATCAATGGGCCGTATAACTTTTCGACAACTACCATGTTATATGCCACTGTTATATGGGTAAAGCAATTGGTTTAGATAAGCACTTTCCAATTTATTTATGGAGATTTCAATAAGAGAGAGAAAACAAATGAGAAACTACGCAAATTTCGAATAAAATTTACGATGAATAATGTATTTCACAAATCGAACAGTTAAATTTGTTGGCAAAATGAAGCCTTTTTGGCTTCGATAAGTCTTGCCAATTTGAAAGCAAATTTTACAATCACAATCTACAAAGTGAAATAAAAATGAAAATAACTGAAAACAAAAGAAATAAATGATCTACTTGGACAATAGAACCCGCAATGATAATAACAATTACAACGAAGAAAGCTGTTGATCCACCAACCAGCATACCATTGGTTTGACTATTATTAAGTGAACTTGCATTAGCTAAAGAAGTCAAACCGGCAACGAAGAGCAGCACCACGAGAATACCATCAATAACCAATCCAATGATGTTCAGACAAGCGAACTAAAAATCGGAAGTAGAAATATTTTTATTGAGAGAGTATTCCTTGAGTATTTTGTTTTATTTGATATCGAGCAAATGTCATTTATGAAAATATGTGAACCTGGAAGAAAAACAACTTCCAACTATTTTGTCAATAAGTTGTTACAATATAGCCATGTTTTTGAAGACAGGTAAAATATATTCTAATGGGGGATCTCCGTTCACACTTAATCATAAGAAAAAGTATACATAATCTGTTAAAGCTTGTGATTTTGCCTTTGACTTCATTTGGTGAAAAAATAATACAACTATAATTCAGACCAACTCAATTAACAATTAATTACAAAATATCATAACTTTCAATGGCTATAAGTGTTGACAGTGTCTCGATGATACTCGAATTGGTTGTGTAAAAAATAAACGAAAATTCATTGAAGGCTATTTCAAACCAGAGATGCCAAAAGGCCC